TCGAGAATCGTTTTATAAAACTCGAGAATCGTTTTATAAAACTCGAGAATCGTTTTATAAAACTCGAGAATCGTTTTATAAAACTCGAGAATCGTTTTATAAAACTCGAGAATCGTTTTATAAAACTCGAAAATCGTTTTATAAAACTCGAAGAATCGTTTTATAAAACTCGAGAATCGTTTTATAAAACTCGAGAATCGTTCTATAAAACTCGAGAATCGTTCTATAAAACTCAAGAATCGTTTTATAAAACTCGAAGAATCGTTTTATAAAACTCGAAGAATCGTTTTATAAAACTCGAGAATCGTTTTATAAAACTCGAGAATCATTTTATAAAACTCAAAAAATCGTTTTATAAAACTCCAAGAATCGTTTTACGAAACCGCAAAAAACCGAAAAAGCCGTAAACGCGAACTAGTCACGACTAGTTCGCCCATCGGCGAACTAAGGACACTCCACTAGTTCGCCCATCGGCGAACTAAGCCGGCCCGGCTTAGTTCGCCGATGGGCGAACTAAAAACTCCTCGGACATCCCGCGCCTCGATTTCCCACATCCCCGATTTAAAACTTACGTCTTTCGACACGATCGCATTCTAAACTACGGCTAAAACGTCTCTTGTTCCATCTCGATCCGACTTACTGTTCGAGTTTTACGATAAAAATCGTAAAACTTCGCTTTCTCGGAAAGAACTCGAGAAAGTCGTATAAAACGGCAACGGTTAAACGAAACACCGAACATTGCCTAAACAATACGATTCATTCGAGATTTCTCGTTAAAATCATTAAAATGCGCTTTTTAATAAAAAAACGCCGAGTAAGTCGTAAAAAACGTGTTTTTAATAGAAAGTCGAGTAAATCGTAAAACTTCGCGATTAACTCGAGTAATTTATTAAAAACGACGTCAGATCAGGAAACGAGCCCGTAAAAAGTCGGAAAACGGTTTTTATCGCAAAACGGCCCGGAAGGACCTAAAACGCGATAAAAACCCATCCCGCGATTTCAATGGAATCTAACCCGCAGATTTGATAACGTTTTGACGGTTTACACGCAGAAGGAGAATAAAGGCAAGTTTGAAGATAAGTAGAAGATTTCCGCGGAAGAAAAGGAAGGATCGAGAAAAATGGAAGATTCCCGAAATAATCAAATCCGGCAAAATGGAAAGATTGAACCGTCAAGGCAAGGAGTATATAAACCAGAGGCGTGGGGGAGAAGAGAGGGACGATTTTCAGAGCTCTCATCTGAGACTTTTACAACTTTTCTACACTTAGAATTTTCCGCACTTAGAAACTTAGGCTTTTTCTCGACAAGTTCGGTTTCTATGACTGGCGTTCAATTACTAGACGAACTCGCCCAGGCAGTTCGATCTCTTGTCCAGCTCTATCAACTGAACTACGTTCGACTTGATCCCCGAAGGGGTACATAAGAAGCCTTTCATAAGGTTCAGTCCGAAATCATTCAAACCTTTTTTCCTATCTTTTTCCGTTTTTTGTTATCAAGCTGCGACTCGACTAGATCTAGGGTTTTATGTTTGTAACTCGCTGATGGCCCCTGCGACCAAAGCCTTTGTAATTCCTTGTAATGATCGCAACGCTCTTACGCGAATCGGAAATAAGATCGACTTTCTTTATAAATTCGTTTTATTATGTTTTTCATATTTTTTCCGCATTTATTTGGTTACTTGTCATTGGCTTTCGCAGAGATACGGTTCCTCTGGAAAATTAGGGTTTTCCTAAGTTTCCTTATTTAACGGAAATCGACAAGTGTGAATTTCGGTTCCCACAGTTTGGCGCTAGAAGGAGGGGGGGTCGGATTACTCTTACTCATAGCCGCAAAACGCTTGATCAAAACGATGTCTGGATGTATGAATGACAAAGTCGCAACTCGCAAAAAGAGGCTGGTAAAACAACTCCAGCAGC